CGGAGCCGTCGCGCGCGCACACCCTGCCCGACACAGGGAGGCAACCAGACTAGCCGGCTCCGGGCCGCGCAGCCGCCTCGCCGCTTTCCCACGCTAGGTCAAGACCTCGTCCTGCCTCTGACTACCCGGGCTTCGCGTACGGCATCCCCTCGGGCAGAGGCCTCGTGACGAACCTCGCGCCCTCCGCCCTGGGAAGGCTGTCCTTCCCCGTCTCCGCGCTGGTGGCGGCGTCCGCCGTGGACCATTCCCTTGCCCCCCCTCCCGGACGTTTCCTCCCGGCTCGGTTCCCCCGCAACCTGGTAGGTTTGGGGCAATGGGCCTCTCAACTCCCCCGTGGGGCCTTCGGAAGGGAGCCGCGGGGTAAGTAGCCACAGCCTCTTGCAAATGCCTTTCTTACCGAGAATCCTGACTCGCAGACATGATCCTTAGAATCTAGGGTGGAGTGCCCGCCTATCGACAACTTATAGAGCGCCCGACCCCGCCCCAGCCATCGCATTGGTTTGGCTGCCTCTGCCCCGCCTGCCGGCACTCTGCAACTCGACGTGACGTTAGTTTGTAGGCGCTTTAGCTCGTACGCCCTATTGGGTAATTTGAATGCCTATCAAGGCTGAGGCCCGCCCTGCAGCCTCATTGGCTGAAGGGCCCGCCTTTCTCACTGGTACGGAAGTGACATACAGAAGTCGGGCCTCGCGGCCGGGCAGCCATCTTGGAGCCCAGCACCTTTACACGTGCGGAGGCGATCGTGCCTTAAGTCATGTGGTTCAGCGGGTCCTATCAAGCGACGGGGGTGAGGCCTTAGCCTCCAGGGACTTCCGGGCACCCGGGACTACCACTTCCTTTACATTTCTGCTACAGGTTTCTACAAGACCCAAGGTTTAGTCTTCCGTCCACTAATGATTGGTGTGTTCACAGTCGAGCAAGAATGACAGAACCAGTGTCGATATCCCAGGGTATAGGAAGTTTCTCTAGCTGGAGGGAAAAAGGATGGAACCCATTTCTGGGCTAAAAGGCATAGGTATGCTGTATTTCTGGCCAAGGAGTACCTGGCCCACTCCATCGCTGGTTCTTTTAGCTGCTGTTCTCAGGTTCTCCCAGGCTCCCTTATTTTTGAAGCTTAATTCCTCTTCTTCCGGGCCTCTGCTACGCTGCCCTAAGTGCTGCCATATATAGAAAGCTGGCTTTTTGAGATCTAAGATCTGAAAAAGGGGTAGCTAACAGCACTAGCTGGAAGAAGTCCTGAGATAGAGACATCAGCTATTGTAAGGCCCCTCAAGGAAGACCACCACTTATGTATCTTCAAAGGATCCTTTATTGACCAGAGCAGGACCGTGGCATTTTTATATATATATATTTATATATATAAAAAAAAAGTCTGAAGATCTGGCAGGCAGCAATCCCTTTGCCCGCCCACCACCCCCACAGTTTTCCTGCCCCCTGAACATGGAAGGAGGAATGGATGCTCCACTTGGCCACAAGGCAACATTCCCCTAGGGAGGGAGAAAATGGGTCGTATGTGGCCAATCCCTTCCCATCAGAAACCAACATTCTCGCAAAGAAAACAAAATACAGAAATCAAAACATTTAAATATGAAAATCCAAAGGGAATTGGGTGGGGAGACAAAAGGAACTGGAGTTTCTTAGGAAGGGTCTCCTTTGTTCCCCTGCCCATTAATGGGCTAAGGGTCTGGGGTATGAGGCTCACACAGTGAGTTTGCAGTGACACAGTTCCTTGTAGATCTGCCGTCGAAGTTTGGGCATGTCCTGCTGGGTGAAGCTGAATGGCTGAGACAGGGCCAGGTGCTTGCAGTACTAGGTGTTAACAAAGCAGGCCATGAGAACCATTCACTAAGCATCCCTCCTAAGTCAGGGCCTGCCATACACATTTTACACAAACTCTAACTTAACCTTTTAGAGAATATCCCCAGTTCTCATACAGACTGGCATCTCATAAGCCTGGACTTTTTCTTTTTCTTTTTTGGTTTTTCAAGACAGGGTTTCCCTGTGGCTTTGGAGGCTTTCCTGGAACTAGCTCTTGTAGACCAGGCTGGCCTTGAACTCACAGAGATCCGCCTGCCTCTGCCTCCTGAGTGCTGGGATTAAAGGCGTGCACCACCACCGCCCAGCCAAGCCTGGAATTTAAACACTCTATGTAATATATCCTATGTTCTAATGGAAGAACATACATTGAGTTGGGGGGAGGATTTTGGGCATCTTCTCTATGAGGACCAAAGCCAGAGAGAACCAATCCCAATTCTGGAGAAGACCAATGAAATCAGGGTTTCTGTGCTCTGACTCACAAAAAATACTTCATGCTCTACAATTTGGCTGAACCAACTGAGAACCTGCCAACAACCCCTAAGCCACTGACTCCAGAGCTAAGGAGGCCTCATCATTTGCTTACCTGTAACACAAAGGCACCACAGTCACTGTCATTATTCTGCCTGGCCACATTCTAGAGAATAGAAAGCAAGAACCTGGTGTTCACTTGGATACTCCCAGAGTTTATGAATTCAATTTCCACCTCCTATCCACTACCCTCACCATCACGTTATTCCATTTCCTTCTGGAAACTCACCATTTTGAAGTAACCTGTCCAGCCCTGGTGGAAATCCAATCGATCTTTTTTTACTGCCTCTGCCTGTAGATACTTGGCAATATGCTATGTGAGCAAGGAAAAAGAAAGTGATACCTTCATCATTTACCAGCTGAATGAAGAGTATGATGGTGACAAACACCATGCCCATATAATCCCTCAGACTCCAAGCCTACAGTTCTTCCTGAGACTGCTTGTTGCCAGATCTCTCTACATCTTTACTAGATGTTTTCCCACAACCTCCTCAAACCTTAGGGCAGCGGCGGTTTAGAGTGCGCTGTGAGTCAAAATAGGTGATGGTGCGTCGCCTCACATCAACAGAGATAAGGGACCAGTGCACCTCCAGGTGGATGGGGATTAGCAGTAGTTCCTTATTGAAGATGTCCACCTGAAGAGAGAGTACTGGAGGTCAGAGCAACAGGAAACCCTGCTGACTGCCACAAAAAAGAGAACATATGCACAGGCAAAGGAATCATAAAATAGAGATCCTAGATTGTGAATGAAGGCTCAGCTTCAGAAGGTAATAATAGTTATGGGAGGTTTTCTTATGGGGGGCAGGGCAGCAGTGCTTGGAAGAATACAACACAGGGTCTCCTGAATGCTAAGCAAGCACTTTACTACTGAATTACATCCTATCCTTTTGTTTAAGTTCTGTGTATATGTTATTGTGTGCCATGCATATGGAGGCCAGAGGACAACTTTGAGTGTCCTTCCTCAGACAGTGTCAACCTTTTAAGACAAGCTCACTCACTGACCTAGGACTCAACAAGTAAGCTTGACAGGCTGGCCAGCAAGTCCCAGGAATCCAATTGTTTCCACTTCCCACAGCATTGATATTACCACTGCCCTTGGTCTAGGTTTGTAGGTGGGGATCAAACTCAAGTCTCTGTATTCACACTATAGGCTGAGCTATCTTCCTAGCCCAGATATTGCTTTATTTGTGGTTTTGGATTTTTGAGACAGGGTCTACACAGCCTGGCTGTCCTGGAACTCACTTTGTAGAACAGGATGGCCTCAAACTCAGCTCCTCCTGCTTGTCCCTCCTCAGAGCCTTTAATTCCAGCACTTGGGGGGCAGAGGCGCAGATCTCTGTGAGTTCAAGGCCAAACTGGTCTACAAAGCTAGTTCCAAGACAGTTGGGACTACAGAAAAACCCTGTCAGGGGAGGGGGGAATATGCACCTGTCACACCTGGCTGATGTTGAGATATTTGATAGTGAAGAAGAAAATTAGAAGTAAGAGTAGAACAAGGGGACTGAAGAGATGGCTCAGCGGTTAAGAGCACTGACTGCTCTTCCAGAGGTCCTGAGTTCGATTCCTGACAACCACATGGTGGCTCACAACCAACTTGAATGAGATCTGGTGCCCTCTGCTGGCAGAAGACTGTATACATAATAAATAAAATCTTAAAAAATAAAAAAATAAATCATCATGGCTAAATTAATGCGGGGCGTTGGTGGCGCACACCTTTAATCCCACTCAGGAGGCAAGAGGCAGGCGGATCTCTGTGAGTTCAAGGCCAGCCTGGTTTCCAGAGAGCGTGCCAGGATAGGCTCCAAAACTACACAGAGAAACCCTGTCTCAAAAAACAAAAAAAAAAAAAAAAAAAAAAAAAAAAAAAAAAAAGAGTAGAACAAACACATATGTGCCTTGTAATTCCAGCATTTGGGAGGTAGAATTAAGAGTTCAGTACCAACTTCTGCTACATGAGATCCTGTCTGGTGCCAGGTAAAGGAAAAAGTCTAGGTAAAAACCCAGACTCTGGAGCTGGAAAGATGGCTCACAGGTTAAGAGCACTGGCTGCTCTTTCTGAGGACCTGGGTTCAATTCCCAGAACCCACATAATGGCTCACAACCATCTCTAACTTAAGTTCCAGGGACCTGATGCCCCACCCCACCCCCTGCCTTCTCTGGCATGCATATGGTCCAGACATTCATGCAGGCAGAACACCCATACACTCCTAAAAATAGTAATTAAAGCAAAACCAAAAGACTCAGGATTTTGGTGCCACACTACCAAGGTTCTAATCCAGCTTCTATACTTACTGGTCCATGACCATGAGCAAGCTACTTAACCCTCTTACTTCTACTTAACATATCCGAGGAAGAGAGCACAAGTAGCTATCGTCATTCACTATAGGGAGTAAACTTATCACTAACCATATGGAACACGTTTATATACATGTCACCCTACCACAAGTTCTTGTGTCACTCAAGACACAAAACTGCCAACTGGGCAAGTAATTGTTCAAGGTCACAGAAGTAAGCAACATCACAGGAAACACATTTTTTAAAAGTATGCTCATTATTGGGAGAAGGGGCACACATGCCATGGAACTTGTGTGGAGGTCAGAGAACAAGTTGACTGTCTCCTTCCACCATGTGAGTCCCAGAGATCAAACTCAAGTCATTAGGCTTGGCAGCAAGTACCTTTACCCCCTGGGCCATCTCGATGACCCACACAGACAAAAATTTAACTCAGGTATACAGAAGGCTAAGGTTTTTTTTTCCCACTGTATTATTACTCTGGCCTTTACTGAAAGAAAACAAGGTTCACCAGGTCCCTGAGTAAACCTGGAGCTGGCCAGGGTGGTAGTCCAGTGGTGAGTGATGCAAAGCTGTAGTCTAGCTACTTTTTTTTTTGGGGGGGGGGGGGGGTAGGGAGTAGGGAGGTAGTGTTAAGTGACAGGAGGAAGGGAGGCAAGTGTGTGGGTATTAGAACCAATGTTCCTTTGTCATTGTAGTAATTCCCTGACCTTTCAATTACAGGGCAAAGAAACCTACACAATTTCTCAAATCTACCCCAAACCTGCTCCTGTCCCAAATTTTCCCATTACTTAGGCCCCAAACCCAGGTATCCTCCTCCATTGCTCTCTCCATCTCCCACAAGCAACCCACATGAAAGGTCTACTGGT